GTCTCTGCTTTCCCTCCCTRTCCTAATGGCCCAGCTGGGGGGATGAGGGGGGCCCGATTTAAGCTGTGGAGGAGGCTGGTTTTTATCCACGTTGAGTGCAGAAGCATAAATTGGCATTCCATATCATCATAAAAAAGAATTCCCAGCAATTATTAAAAGATTCTTATCTCTTGCTCCCTACATGGATAATGAGATCCCTCTCTGCTGGACTGAGACAGCCTGTCTCTCAGCTCACTTAATGAAATGGACCCACGTTTGCAAATTAGCATCGCCCTGACTCCAAACGTAACCTCTTGTTGTCCAGTTGTACATCAAGGCCCCTGGCTTATGTCTTTTCTTATTAACACCCYGTAATCATGTCAGCCCTCTTTAGTTTTCATTTCCTGTTTCCTCTTACAAATTCCCTCTTGAGTTTTGAGCGTATCTTGGGGTGGCTTTGGATGAGCTGGGTTTTTATTTTTATCTCCTTTTAACCTTATTGAAATACCCATTTATCAATGGGCTGTGTGCTGGGATGAGGGCATCTGTGTTTGGTTTCATATTTTTTCTGGTCATCTGTTACATCGTCTCTAATTCATTTAATCAATTTGCTAGTTTTATTTTGCTTTTTATAAGTTAGGCTGTAAGATGGCAGGGGCAGAGCTTTTGCATTGCCGTGTGTTTGGTCAGTGCCTTGCAGCATACATTCATTCCTGGTTTCCATGAGGGTGCCTGTGTAATAGATGACCATTAATAATAGTAGGGAACAATGATATTGCACAGCAGCAATCGCAATATGCTAAAGGCCTTCGAAGAAGGCAGCGGACCCTTTGAAACCCTTTTTCTTTCGCTCTCCCCCAATGTGAAACTTCATTTTTAGGCCTTCAGAGTAATAAATCAAAGCAGCCCCRAGTAGTGAATCATGATTTCGTTTGCCCATATGTGGCTGACCCAGTCTGGCTTTGATAAGGCAGTGCCCTTCCATTATATCTGCTACCCCACTAATTATCCTTCACTTTCCTGAGCACTAACTCACACATTAGAATAAATAAAAGGACCCAGGGAGGTGATTAGTTGTGTGCAGGTAAGCAGCAGCTACACTGTTAGCTGGGTAACATTATTTTTGCTTTGCTGGGTTTGCATATTTTTAGCTCTGCTGCAGTAAAAAACACAGTTCGTAACACAAAGGATAACTCTTCAGTGCAAAACTTCAGGATATGCCTTGAAAGGATTTATTCCTTTATCAAGTATTAATTTAAGGGGTTCCTTGTAGGTAAGGCAGTGACATCAGCGGTAGGCTACAGGGCAGCAGATTTATTAATTTAATAGGTTTATCCATTTTACAGCTCGGATAATCATATTTCACTAAACTGGTACACAAGGAGGCTTCAGCCCATCTGACAGCTTTATTCTTGTGTAAGTTAACAAGCACATTTGGTACTCAAGACCTTGTGAATTATAAAAGTGCGAGGAGCTAGAGAGGAATGACAGACCAAATCCAAGAAACGTGTTAGCATTTCAGTTTTCCTGAGCTAGATTTATAAAGGGAGCAGTGAGGAATCTCAGCTGCAAAGATAACTTTAACATTTGTTCGGTTATTTGGTTTAGGAAAATATGCAGCATTTGAGCAAAAATGTTCAAGAAAATAGGTAGCAAAAAGAGAAAAAATCAAATACACTGTTAACTTAAAAATTATGGACCTCGTTTGTATATTAAAGAGATTAACAACAGAATCACACCCTTCCCAATGGATGAACTGTTCTTGATCTGAAACAATGGGAAAAGTATTGGACCAGTTTGGTCTGAAGTGAAGGTGTTTGTAACTGTTTGCTACATTCTGGGCTTGCTAAATCCACTAAATAAGTTTTTAAAGTTTTTGAAATTATCTGAGAAATAATGAGATTAACGAAAAGTGGAGGTAAACTTTTAAAAATGCATCTTACATATCCATTTCTGCATGTTTTAAAAAAATTCTTGTTTACTATATGGGAAAAGAAATACACACTCTTTTTTTTTTCTTATTGGAACTGTTGGAGAAAAATGAAATATTTTTGTATTTGTGTAAAAGTTTTCATTTAAAGCTGAGCTTTTCATTAGAAAGGCATGTTTGCGTTTCTTACTGAAGTGATGACATGCTCTGGAAGAAGACACTTTCTGTGCAAAACAGCCTTCAGCTGAAACCTATTTTCCCTTCAGRAAGTTTAACATAAAATGTAGAGGTTAGGCCCTACTTTGTGTTTCTAATGAAAGCTGAGCTACTTGTGTAGTACTAACTGCAAGCTCTTCAAATAATACAATTACCTTGAAACTCACCRTAAAATGGTATGTTTGGCAACACTGAAGGAACTGTAGACCTCAGGGATTTATTTCCATTTACATGCAAGCTTCTTTACACCATCCTTGACATGTTAGAAGGAATATTTTTTGCAAATCAGAATTAAGCCACAAAGATGGGAATTTCAAAACCCGGATATTAGTAGAACATGACAGGCCAGTATGAGCCCATTGCGTGCTCTTAATTTCCTTTCGTCTGTATTCTTCACTGAGGGCATGTCACTCATCTTTGGCAGCAGATGATGGATACACAAACACTGAATAAGGGCATTTATGGAGGGAGGATGGGGCCAAACTCTTCTCGGTGGCGGTTAGTAAGGGGTAGCGGGTACAAGGTGAAACAGAGGAGGTTCTATCTCCAAAGGAGGAAGAACTTCTTTACTGTGAGGATGACAGAGCCCTGGMACAGGCTGCCTAGGGAGGCTGTGGAGTCTCCTTCTCTGAAGCTCTTCCAAACCCACCTGGATGCCGCCCTGTGCTCTGGATGTCCCTGCTGGAGCAGGGGGGTTGGATTGGATGATCTCTAGAGGTCCCTTCCAACCTCATCCATTCTGTGATGATTCTGTGATGTTGTAAAATAGTTTATTTTTTTTTAAGAGTATGCTATCATACTGTGCTTTGAGTTGAGTCTACAGCATTCTTTAACTTTCAGTCTCAAATGCACAACTGTCTGTCATATAGGGAAAGCATTACTCTTTGAACATATTGTTAGAAACTTAAGGCAATGACCCTGTCTGAACTACACTGGAGACATCAAAAGGGTCTTTTAAAATTTGCAGAGCCTGATATTTGTATTTCAACACCCTGTTTGGTATGTTCTTTTGCAGATGTAGCAGGAATCACCCCTTGGACTTTGCTGACATCTGTGAAGGTTTTGTCCTTCTGGACACTCTTCTTGGGAGGACTTCTTTGCTCTGGTCAGACGGGCCGTGAGTCGGAGTAATGTTTCCAAAGCACTTTTGCATAAACCAGCCCCTGTTTAATTTCCTGCCATATGATGGAAGCAAAGAAGTCAATATAGTTATTATATTGTTATAATTATATTATTATTATATATTGTTGTTATAGGATGCCAGAAGTGTCCCAGTAGGCCCTAGACACTTTGATCCTTCACTTTCTGCTCTGCAGAGTGGGGAACTTGATTCACYGCAACGTGCTCTGTCACAGGGATGTTTTATAGTTGGCCATAGATGCTTCACCAGTTGGGATCCCTAATTATTATCAATTTGCAGATTGCCTTGAATGTCTTATTAAGATTCTTGAGGAATGATTGATCATAATCAAAAAATTAATCACCAATCAGCCCTGGCAATTAACATTAGCAAATCTATTTGCATATATCTGAAAATTTATGCTGCTGCTGGAAGAGGGGACCTTTGTTGAATATTATTGATTAGGAGAGAAGAGCCAGATGCTTCTGTCATTGGGACATTAGACTTTATTAGATATGGCTACTAATGTGTAAGAAATTGAAGGACATTCCTGCAGTCTGTCCCAATGCAGCAGTCTCCCAGTCTCTGGCTGGAATTTTTGAAATGCATCCATTGAAATTTCTTAAAAGATGTGGGGTGTTCTGTGCTAAATAATCTTTGAATTTTAGGTTTTAGTTACTGTGGATACTTTAAACATTGGTTATAATAGAAAAGGTTGATAGTATCAGGCTAGATTGTGCAATTTACAATACAAGAAGCAAAACAACAGAAATAATTATTTACTGTTATGAATAAACGGTTTGTAGGCTTTTGATGAACTTGCCTTATTGTTGTATTTATAATATGCAGAATTGCATAAAAAAGTCCTAGAAGTGGTTGACAATAATCTACACTTTTTCAGTCAATATATTTTCTTTAACAAATTCATGCTCCCCATAATTTGTTCTTTACAAAGGAATACTTTCTTAGTATATTTTTGAAGGAATGCTTGTTATCATTGTTATGTCATTCAAGTGCATTTCCATCCTGAAACTGCTTACAGAATAATACMTATGTTTAAAATGTTAGTCTGCCACATGTTCTGATACTTACTTTCTTTTAAGCACAGTAGCCTTCAGTTTTGCTTGAACACATTTCCACCAGCCTCATACTCTGTGCTATGTGTGCAGCAACAGGGGAATGTAGAGTCTACTGTCATAAATTCAGATTTGSCTCTCATTTATAGCTGCTTAAAGATGAGGAGCAAATTCATTTAGGCCACTAGGCAGTGCGATAACAGTTTATCCTGTTTAGCCATCACAGCCATAGAAATGACAGCAGAATTAAAGCTATGTCCTCTAAGCAAAGCTGGTTAACATTTTAAATAGCAAAGCTGTGTTGAAGACAAAGGACCACAAAAACAGGATTTATCCTTCCAGTTCCTGAATTTTTAAAAGAATAATTCAAAAGATTTTTCATTTAAAAAAAATCTTATGGTAATTTTAATTTTTGGATAATTTTTGAATGTAACATCATTGCAAGCTAGAAATCTGTGTAATTCGTATAAGATTTTGAAAGTTTTTGTGCTGAACCTCTAAATCTCTGAGTAGATTTTAAAGCTGGAAGGTGTTGTCTTTAAAAAACAGGAGTAACTGTTAAAATCTACCCTTAGCTTAGCTAGATTGGTTTGTTCTCTGTTCCCAGCTTTGTGTGTATCAGTCTTTCTTGAACAGATAATTTTTTATTTCTCTGTAGGTGCTCAACAATCTGCTTTGCAGTCTTCAAGATGTCACGTCCTTAATGGCGTTAATATATTTCCTTGGATGTTACGGCTTTGGAACTGAATCAGAACCCAAGTCTGTCTGAGGAGCATTGAGTAAGTCTGAATTTGTGTTCACTTTTCTTTTTTGATTCAGAGGGAGCCCCGGTGCAGATCCCAGAGGCTACCTGAGGTTGYGTCCACTGGTTGTAGCACCTAGGTGTTGCTGAAGTTAGTTCACGAGATCTTGTCACCAAAGCAAGATCTTGTCACCGTCAGGATCAGAGGTTAATTGAAATCAGAGGAGCAGAACCCACTCGATTGCCCCRTTAATGATGCCCGGCTCCCTCCGGGGCCCCACGGCTGCAGGCGAAGCTGCCCGTCGCTCAGCCGGCCGCTCGGGATGTATTCAACGGCCGYGTCGCCGAAGCCGATAGAAACATCCATGCTATGGGAAAGCAGGATGTGTGTGCGAGGGGCAGTCAATGACATCCCCATACATCATCCCCCAGCTCTCGTGTTCCAGGTTTCCGCTGAAAGCTGCTAATGCCTGGAGATTTATGGCAGGTGGGCTCTGCTGCGTGCGTAGTGTTGGGTGGGTGATTGGGGACACCCTGATTGGGAGCCGGCAAGAGGAGTTTCTGGCAGTGAATGCTCTTTATGTGCACAGGTATGGATTGGATTGGATGAGTAATGTGTTGAGGTTAAAATATACAAATTTTYCCTTCTTCTCTCCCCAGACTGTTATGAACAGTGGAATTTTGCTAATGAGTATTAAATACCAGAGGTTGATTGTGATGGTAGCTTTGCCAGTGTTTCTGCAGTCAGCAGTTATGTGCTCTTTACCTTATAGCAAAGCGTTTTTACCTTACAGAGAAGCAAAGCAGATTTGGTCACTGCAAACATTACTATATATTCAAATTCATATTCTTRTGAATCAGAATATAATTAGAAATTGTATTCTGAATCCTGTAACCCTGTGCTGGACTTGGTGACGACGTCTCCATTGGGAATTGGCTTGGCAAAGCAGAAGGAGAGGTTTTCCTGTTTGGGATACATTTGATGTGTTGAGCTTGAAAAGGGGAGATAACTTGGAGACATTTTATTTAGAGCTATATAGACTCTAAGTTTCTTAAAAACTGAGATAATCAGTCTAAAAATCTCATGTCATATGTTTGTCCAAATGCTGTGGTCTAAAACCTAGTCTTCTTGCACTGTGATATGGATATTAAGCATAGGCCTGCAGAATATCTCCCTCTCTTTTCTTCTCTCAGCCTGCCTGATTTTAATCCCTGCCATCTTTAATCTAGATTTAAGTGACTGTTCTCTCTGCAATACATTTGCCTGTGGGTAGAAACTCAGCATATTGCAGCCTACGCCAAGACCCTTGTTCCAATCACAAGGAAGTCTATAATTCACGTAAATGATCCTTAGGAATAATTCTCCAGGACTTGTTTCTCATCCCCCAGACACAACAATGTAGCAGTGCTAGTAGAAATTTCCTTCTGTAAAAATGGTCTCATAAAAATGAAGCATCTTTGGATTTGCTYGTCTCAAAAGGTCAAAACCAAAGCCCAAACTCTTGAGATGTTTTGTTAACGAAAGCTGAAAGCGTATTTGAATTTCATAACTCTTACTGTTTTCTAGAAAATAAAGAAAAAACTCCTAAAAAGGCAGCTATTTTACAGCCAAAAGTATTTTGTTTGTTCCCTTGTTTAATTAAAAACAACCCAAACTTTTTTTATTTTACTAAAATTAATGCTTTGAAGTGAGACCCTATTTTTGTGGAGCAAAAAAAAAAAATTTTTTTTGTATGTTCTTAGAGCTTCCTAAAAGCTTCTCCTCTCATGGGGCAACAACTTTACCCAGCCGTGCAAGGTGTTCTTTAGGTAATTTATGTGCCCGAGCCACACGACTCCCACACACAACGGAGGAGGAGAAGCTAAATCACTCAAGGGAGGTTTCCTGTGAACAGCCGTATTACATYTACCACCCGTTTGCTCTGGGCTGGCTGAGAAATGAAGCCGTTGAAACCTTTGGGGTCATGCCGAAGTGGGGGACAAACACTTATCAATGGGCTACGCAGGATGGGGCCTTGTTTCATCTTCCTTTCTAGAGGTTTGTGGACTGCAGCGTTTTCCCTGGTCCCGTTCTGTTGTGGCTACAGTGGTGCCAGAGACTGGGGAAATGAGATATTTATTTGAATGAAGAGCCTCTGGATCAGAATTTTTTCTTGTCTGTAGAAGACTGTTGTGGAAAATACAATTAGTCTTTTGTTATGTGGCATTGAAGGTAGTCTTGAGAAATTCAAGTTTGCTGTGGAATACTAGGGGAAAATTCAAGGTTTTCTGCTTACGTGCTGATGTTGCACACAGTCTTGGGGATATTCTGCCTGATCCTTCAACTTTTACTGCATCTTTCTCCAGACTGTACCTTCATCACATGCACCGGGCGGATACATTTTCAGCTAAAAAATACAGCAAAAGAGCACCCCAAGCACACGAAATATCCCCACAGTGCTCTGCCCGTGCACAGGAGAGCACCTGGAAAGGCCCAGCTGCCAAGCCACGCTTGCAGGCAGARGTCACACACGACATGAGCTTGCTGTTGCCTTTCCCATTGCTCCTAGGTTCATATGAAACATGAAATTCCATGTGGGCCTCTCAATGGTTGCTTGGAAATGGGCTGCCTGTCACCCCAGAGGGCCGTATTGGCATCCTGCACCTGATTGCATTTCKCCGTTCTCCCCCACAGGACAAGTCAAAGGTTACGGTTCAGAGGGGAGCGTGAGCATGTTGACAGCAGGTTCTCTTCAAGCTGAGAGACTTTTTAATGGGCTGGCTAAGTTGTGCGTAGGTGTAGATGGCTGGTTGTGGGTATGGACTTAGGAACCTGAGCCAAAGWAAACCGACACAGGCAGAAAAGTTGATACTGACTCCAAAATAAATTGTTCTGAGCCTCAGCGTGGCCTGAAGAATAAAGCAAAACAAGAGAAATAAAGGAATAGTTCAGAGCTTGTCACAAATTTCCACCCACCTCTCCTTTCCACACCTGTTTAATAAAAGCAAAAAGAGCTGTCAAGTGAACTGTAAATATTCCGYGGAAAGCAAAGTTACCTTTTTACACTCGAAAATTTCAGAAATGGAATTATTTTCCTGATATCTTGTGTTTCTGCTTGCTCTAGCGTGCCGTTACCCAGAGCCGTTCCTCCCGGGAGAGGCGACACAGAGCCCTGAAGTACCCGAGCCCTGCGAGGTGCAGCCAGCTCATAGCAGTTAAGTGTTCCTTGTTGTGCTTTTCCGTGCTGTGCTGGTGAATGATCCTGAGCTAGTATCTCTGCTGAGCATTTTGGCTGCTCATATAGATAGCCAGGCTCTCCTAAAATGAGTCTGTACCACACCACGTGTGAGGTAGCGATGCCCTGGACCCCATTATTATATTAATTGCACATTTGTTAGTGATTCTCAGCTGTGGATATTGGCTGTTACCCCTGTTTTACCTTTGGGGAATTCAAGCACAAGAGGCTAAGGCAAAAGGCCTCCACCTTAGCACCTGATCTGAGCAAGCGGCCTGAGTGTTGCCTGCAGTAGTCAGGGTCAGACAGGATAGTTTATAGCAAAATCTGATGTTGAATATTCCAAAATATATCCCAGTGCCCTTGTATGCTCTGCCTGTCTATGTCTGCAGCGATCCTTTAGCAGACTGAGTGGATGGGAGACTGAGTGCYATCATCTAGTATTGAATCTAAGCTTTTAAAGTATGAGTCTCCAGTTACTTCAATAACTCGACCCTCTTAGATTTAGTTGAGGAGATAAAAATCTGCCCTTGAATCTGAGTGAGAAGGAGTGAAGCAATGATGAGCAGTTATCAGCACTAGTCTAAATTCTTGAAACTAGAAAATTATGAATCGAACTTTCCAATTCTTAGAAACGATGAAATTGTTTTTTTAAAGAACATTTCAGGATATGTTTGCTTATTTTATACTTTCTCATTTTTTTGGTGTGCAGCTGGCTTGTAAAGTTTTTCATGAGAAATACATATTTGCTAAGCTTCCTTTTGAAAATGAAAATTACATTCTTACCTATCCCTATATTCTAGAGCAGGTCTTTAACAGTAAGACCAAACATTCTTGATAAATTTGTATGTGCTAGTAAGTGCATGTTCCTTGCTACATTTCAAAAGCACCACACTAAGCAAGGAGCTTCGCAAGTCAAAAGTAAATTGAATGTGTGACTTTTTCTGTTTTAATTCTGCCATAGAGGTTGCAGAAATTTAAAGTGGATRTGGATTATGGCCAAATTCTGTTACACTGGTTTCCTTCATGATGGCTTCGCTGCTATCAGCTAGCCAGTGATGTCCACTCCAACCTTCAATTATGTGCTCATTAAAAACATCAACATATGCTGGAAATAATCACTCTAATAATCTGTTAGCCCCAAATTGGCAGTGTTGATGCAGCGATTCTTCTCAGAGACAGTTCTTATTTGACCAGAAAAAAAACCTGTCACTGCCCTGTCCTGCACCCCATGGCATTTGAGTCCTACTCTCCAAAATGTAAATGCAGACAGATTGCTGTAGCTGCAGCAATGGCACTAAAATAGCTTAAGCTGATTTCAGTTTAGTTATAGAACTTTACAGGCCTGCAGTGTTTGGTGGAATTTTCAGGAGTTTGCCTGTTCTGAGGATCCACGCCAGTGTTTCTAGGAAGGTTTTGCAAAAATACTTAGTTCAGTTATTACTCCTAATTGAGATTATTTTGCAGGAATCTGTGTAGCTTATTGCCCTGATGGAGTGTAAACAGCTTTCTGGAAGCACTTTGGTATGAAATTTTCCAGTCCTTGTTTTGTTCTTGCAAATTAAGTGCACGGAGAGCATAACCAATAAAGGACCAGATGGATTTGCTTTGAAACATCATTATTGTTCAGGTGTAAGCCCCCCTTTTGATAGTCAGTGATTTCCATCATTTTAATAGGATTCTTTTAAGTCACCATATCAGTGTTCCTCGACCTGAGCTATTCTATCTGCATGTAGAGTACAGATGAAACAAAAAAGGAATTTGTTTTTCTGTCCTCTTTGACCACAATCTTTTTGCATGAGACTGATGATTGAAATGCCACTTGGTGTCCATTTTGGCAGTGACTTTCTGAAGAGGACACCTAGCCACAGAAAACTGCACTGAAACACATTTCTTCTTTCCAAGGAGCCAGACAGGAACATACTTGATTTTTCAGCCCACCCTTTCCCTTTTCTTCGTGAGGGAACGGAGCAATAAAATAATAACGTGCCCAGCCAGCCTCGCCTCCCATTCTAACATGTTGAGTGCCAAAATCCAGATCAAGTCTTGAAGGCAAAGTGTGAATGCAATGAAAACAGGGGCTTTATTATAAAGGCAGGGCTGTGAACTTTCTAACTTAGCAGTGCTCCCGGATGTGACTCTTCACACTGTACACAGCTGCTGAACGCTTCCCGGGACTGTGGGTGGTGGGTGAGGAAAGGGGAAGAGGTGGCTTAGCTATGCACACTATTTCCCATAAGAAATATAGCAGTAGAGTCTCACCTCCCTGCCTGTTTTTCCACATATATTGAGACGGGGATGTATTTATATAACCCTATTAAAAGGGAACACTCAGTAGCAAGGTTGGTCTTTAAATAGCTACTGTTCTGCATACTCCAGGCTTCAAACTCCTCAGTTTCAACTCACACCCACTTACATTCTTTTGACATATTCCTTAGGGTTTTTTTTTTTTTTTTTTGTGACTTTGGGGTCAAATCCAAAACGTATTGAAACCAGTGGAAAGACACTCACTGAATTCAGTAGAATTTGGATAATACCTGCAGAGCTCAGGTACCGTGATGATAAATGCAATAAATTATAGTGGAAAGTTGCCCTTGTTGGGCTAGCCCCACTTAGCAAACAAATGAAGCTGCTGCTATTGACTGGAGTAGGTTCTGGTCCTATAGTGGTGGGATTTAAGCTTCATGGTTACCTCTAAAAGCATTTTTATAAAAGCTCATAAGGCTTTATAGACTTTGTAGTATTTTATATTAAAGATATAAATATCTCTCATTTACAGGTGAATAAACTGAGGCACAGAGACATGTTTAACTCTACGTGTCAGCCATGCAGTGCAGCAGAGCTAGAATTAGTCCCAGAGACCAGCCCCTGGGCCACCCAACAGAAAGACAGAGTCGATCAGATCAGCTGCTGGCAGGCTCAGATTCACACCCAGCACGACGAGGTCCTGTTCACGCCAACAGGAGTGGAGGGCAACCAACATCCTCCCATGAATCTTGGAGCGTTAATGAACTGACTAGTTCTTCAGAAGTATTTTGTTTTTACCACCAGGACACATTATTTCATCTTTTTTTTTCCCCCCCAACATTCATACTTTCCCTTTGACTCCTGTTATTTCAGTTCCATTTAGCAAATACTTCATGTTTTTCTTCCCCTGTGTCCCTCCAGCCACCTTAGTTTGCCTTTTTTTTTCTGTTCTTTTTTCTTTTTCTTTTTTTTTTTGCCTCTCTCCCTTGAAAACTTTTTCCCTCTTTCAGTGCACTAAGTGGATTTACGACCCATTTAGGCAGCTTACAGTGGCACTGCTTTTACAGTTCAGAGGCAGAAGGGCCATAAAAAGATTTACAGTTACAGCAAGAATCGGTTGCGTGGAAGCTCGAGATCCAAATTAGACAAAGAGAGCTGGGCTGTGTGAGTGGCCAGTAAAAGAAGCTTGGAAACAAAAACAAATGAAACTGCTCTTAGAGGAGGAGGTTAGGGTAGGGGGAGAGAAGAAGGAGGAAAAGTTGCCTGTTAACTTCACGTTACTATTGCAACGGCTCTGTTAATTCTGTTATATAAAGCCTTTTTTCCTCCTCTTTTTTTTTTTTTTTTTTTCTCACTCTCTCTCGATGTTATTGTTGGACAGATTTCCTATGCAAACATAAATCTCAAACTGGAGAGCAGCAGCCTCACACAGTAGTTGAGATTCCAAAGCAGATATTCCCAGGATGTTGGCAGCTGCTCTTGCTGCTGTCGCTGGGACGCCGGGATACAAACTCCAGAGGATAAAACCTCATGGCTAAAGGAGTGGGACCGGTTAGAGTGAAAGACTTCAGGTTGCATTGAGCTTAATCTGACACTTGAAAGAAGCTAGAGAATGAGGAAAAATTTTATCCTGTCTCCCCCCACTAGAGTTTTTCTGCTGACTTCAAAAGAAACAARACCAGGCTTGAGCAAATCCATAACAAACCGAGGCAAAAGAGAGATGATCTCTAGGGGTCCCTTCCAACCTCAACCACTCTGTGATTCCRTGTGCTTTATTTTCWGAGTCTACAGACTGCATAGGTACAGATAGTCAGACCTGCTCAGTTTCGGTCCACGCACTGTATAGTCCATACCATAGCTGTGCACTTCTTCCAGTAAGTCTTTTGGAAAGTGTGAACCTCACAATGCAGAAAGAGCACCATGCTCATGCAGGAACGTGGCTTGAAGCTGCCTTAGAGTAGCGATGCCAGGCACAGGAGTGCACATGTCCACAGAGGTGCCGTCCGTTCGAGTGCAGCACGAGGACAGCCCCAGTTGTGTTCTCAGGGAGCCTCTATTTGACTGAATGTTTCACTCTGTTGAGCCATCATTTACATTTGTAAGTTTTAGAGTGTGAAAGCAATCGTAAGTAAGCTCTATATATAAGAAAACCWGTACTTTTCTGTCCTGAATACCTTATTTTTTTTTAAGATAGTTGAGATGCACAGTGTTGGTTTATTTTTCTTCTTGTACRTATTAATTTCTGCTGCTCCCCCTTTTAAATAGCTTTCCGTTGAAATGATTTCTTTTAGTTTCAAAGAGATGCAGCAGTTTTCATCTCCTAATGTCTGTCACATAGTAATGCTATCGAAGTGTCTTCTGGTTACCAGTCAGTTGACATCCACATTTCAGAAGTGGCTCATGGGCCTRTTGGGGACCTCTTGTTCGTGGCTGTTGGATGTAGGGTAGCAGCAGAGCAGGAGCTCATATTTCCCCATTTCCTGGATATGGGCTTCACTTAGGAAGCTGGCGATGTCCTTGACCTTGCAGGGTCCCATGAACCCTGCTTCCATAGGGTCTAAGCTGTCCTTTTTTTGCTATGCACTAGTAGCTCTCCAGTGAGATGAGTATTACTGGTGGGGTAGAGGTCACTGGGATCCTTGGATGAAAAAATGCTCCCTGAGGATAGGCTTGTGCTTTGCTCCCATGCGTTCTCGCACGAATGTTAACATTCAGCTTATCTATAAGAGGAAAAAGCAATCACAGCCCTGCTCCCTGCATCCTTTATAGAAGCAGTCCTTCCTTCCTCAGAAGAACCTCCTATTAAGAAGAGTGGTAATATTTTAGGAAGATTTGGCTATAGCRTTTGCTTTCTAAAGGAACAAATGGCCAGCCTCAGAGAGACACTTCAGTTTAACCCAGAAATAAAAAAACAGGCAGGCCCATATTAAAATTGTAAAGCTAAGTGACAATAACCCCATGGATGACTCTTGTCCCTTCTTCTCTCCTCCCAGCAGCACCCGTAGCTGCTGCCATCCCCTTGCAGGGAGGTTGCACATGGGTTTCCTTGCAGGGAGGTTGCCCGTGGGTTTCCTTGCTGCCCTTGGCACCGTTGGGCTCAGCAGCTCCCCAGGGAGAGCAGCAGCCGTTCCGGACCCTGATGGATTTGTGTGCCTCCCACTGGAGATTTTCGGCAGGACACTGAACAACAATTCAACAAATTCTGCTGTGTCAGGGTTGTTCTCCTTGGCGCTTCCTTTTTCACATTCCCCTCCTTGTGGTCTTATTCTATCTCCTTTCTCCTTTTCCTCTTTCCTTTTCAATGTGAAGGGCCTTGAATTGCTGGTAGACTTTGACTTATGAGAGAAAGCAGAGAAAAGACTGTGTTTTATGATTGACGGTTAAAAGTTATTCATCAAGCACTTTTTTTTTCCTAGTTGTATATAGGTGTGCAGAAAATACAGCAGTTTTCATGAAAAATTCTTATGATGGTAAAATGCTTCACTTTTGGGGGAAGAACAGTAGGGAATGAATCCAGTTTTTCTGGAGAGTAATTAGGCTCATATTTCCCTTATTTTGCTTTTGATTTTTCTTTTTTTCTTCTGTATTTATAGAAGAAATAGGTATTAAAAGAAAACTGGTCAAGCAGTAATCTCAGAGCCTTCAGACAATTTAATTTTGATTCTGGTCATTAAAAAAAAACAAATCAGTGTTATCAGTTTGAATTAGTTTGGCAAAAACCTGGAAAATATTTTAGAAATATTTTTAAAAAGTGCCTACTATTGTTGAGTTTTTTCTTTGCAGAGAAGGATATGCATTTCCTACCGGGTGGACCAACCYTTTTTTTCATTCCATGAAGAAAATACAGAGAACATTAACAGCTTGGTATCAATGGTATCACGAACTGCTGGAATTCACTGTCAAGATCTTCAGAACAGGTAGGTTCAGTTTCTCTCTTCTTGAAATGGTTTTATATGCTTCTGCCTTCAATTTTAATTGTCATTTATTAGCTTGTTCTGAGCTGAACTGAGGGCCCTTCCCTTATCTGCAGCCATGCTCAGGCCCTCCAAGTGAGCTGAGTCTCAGAAATGACTTTTTCTTAACCTAGGAGGCCCCAACATCCCATTTAAGCTGTTTTTGACTGTGTCTTCTAGTGTGTAATGTGCTCCATAAACAAATAACCTGTGTTTTCTTAACTGGGTCAATATGAGTTGAGTTGTACTTCAAGCATGGGACGTGGGGAGGAAGTGGTGGGACCAGCAGCAGAAGGGTAGACGGCGGCAGCCTCAGACCCAGAGCAGTGCAAGGAAGCAAAATATGGACTGCTGCCAGAACAAATGCAGAGCCTTTTGGGAAACCATTTCCAGCCCTGATGAAAAAGTGTGAGAACAAAGAGGTAAAGGAAGGTACAACTAATGTCGGACCTCCAGGAGAGATGTTCTCCATGGGCAGGTAGCTCCGAGAAGGGTTTACCCAGCTTTGCTCTTGTGCTCCATGTTGTCCCACCTTCAATAATGTTGTCTATAGATCCTGAGCTCAGAGTCTGTGGACTGAAAAGATCGTGAGGTTTTACCAAAATGAATTTATTTAAAAAGAAAAAAAAAAAAAAAAAAAAAAAAAAAAAAGAGGTGTGTTAGCTTGAGAACAGCAACATTTTGAATGTCTCCATATGTGGTCTAATTTTGGAGGCTGACCTGAGGATCCTCAAAGCATTTATGAGACCAGAGGTCGGTAAGTCCTAGTCAAAGCACAGTGCTGTGCCAGAGAACATAGTATTTGAGAAAACTGCTTTGCGTGTTTTCTCCCAGGTTGATCTGTAGGAGTGTTTTAGGACCCTCTGGCTTGTTTATTTAATTTTGTCTTTCAGATCTAAATCGTGACTAAAAATCACTGTAAAAAAAAAGAGATATATATATTATCTTAGCCTCTGCTTATACAAAACTGAATGAAAAAAGTCATATTTTCACAGCTTGATTTCTTTAGGAATTTGAGTCCTTTCTTCTTTTTAAGTCTCTTTTTTATTAGAGTGTTCAATGTTGTTTTGAAATAGCTGTTAGTAAACTGCAGTTTGAAAACCTGCAGGCGGCACCCAAGAGCACAAAAAGGGACTCCTCTAAACTTTCTATTTTTATCGGCCAGATTCTCATCTCAGACCCCTTATGAAACCTAGCTGGCTGATAAAGAAAAGACCAGAATCCTGTCCCACACTGCAGTAAAATGAGGCTTCAGTGATTTAATCCAACCCAAGAAGCAAATCTCCACAGCTTCTTTGTGCCTTGAGTTGATGGCTTCATTTTGATGTTCAGCAGTCCAYAGAAGACGTTTTGGGTGCTGGGTATCATTGCAGGGACCACTGGTAATGARCTGGGGAACTGAAGGGTCTCACCCCTGTTGACAAGAGCAAGGGGAATAGCACAGGAACATACTGAAGCTAAATGTGCTTACAGGGATTCAATAGCAATGCAGTAGATAGGTTATCCTGCCACAATACTGTCTAAATAGCCATTAATGGAGATCTGAGTTTTGTTAAATAATTAATGTGCCCATTCTACTTCATTTTTTTCCTTATAGATCTTTCAAGGAATTTCTTTCCTATTCCTTTGCTTTTAGTTGCTGTTCCCTGAAATGCTGCTTCTGAGCCTGTCTTCTCATGGGTCTAGAGACATTGTCTGTTAGGCCATTTTCTGAAAGTGATTCATGCCTGTTATGACGAGAAGCTTCTACATGTGGCCCTGTGTATCTAACGAAATAGATACCTCCCGGTTTTCTCATTATATAGGAAGGCATAGTTGACTGAAGGGTGTTTGCCAAAGGCAAAGAGAAGGTCTATACTGTAAGCAAGAACAGGGCCACTGTAGGACTTTATAGTCTCCTTGAGCCCACACAAAGCAAAATTTTAGTAGARCCATAGACATTAGTAGATTATCTCTGCCTGAATCTCGGCAGGCAGGGAGCTCGGAGTGACTTTTTTTTTTGTTCTCTCCWCTTGTGAAAAGAAAAGGCTGTTCTCGTTGTTATTATTCCTACCTAAAATACCTAAAAATCTCTCTGACTTTGCCAACTGGGTTTGCAAACTCTTGTGATGCAGACATCTCATACAAATGATGAGGCGTTGAAGTACTGGCAAAAAACACCTCCCAGAACTTAATGGGTCCTTTCCTGGTTATTTCTGGCTATCCAACACTGGACTGGCATCCCTGGATGTCAGGAAAAGGCTCTGTCTCTAGTTTCTAGCCTATATACCAAGGAATTTTTGCCACCTTCCTCCAAAATGCTTGCCACAAGTGTGAGAAGGATGTTGGATGCAGCACAGCAGCTCCAGCTCTTATCTTCTATCAGCAGTTATTTTCCTCGAGTGCTAACTGACCACTTTGGCTTTAGCCTGCTCTTCTCAAGGGGAAGAAAGCCATGTAATCATAGTATTAGTGGCTAGATCCAACATTTCCCAGGGACTGGGGAGTGCGCAGCGCTGAGTTTTTGGTTTGGCCTTTGCCAAATGTGGGGGATATTCACTAATTTCGGTCGCTTATGGCTCTGGATGTGGCTCTGGACTGGGCAAAATGTAGGTCTGGCCTGTTCAAGCCCTCGTGAATGGGCCCAGTGGTGAGTGCTCCACTCTGCCCTTGTGCAAGTAGCAGGTACATCACATCCCGAGGTGAGTTCCTAGCTCCAATGGCAGTTGCTTCTCTAAAATATCCCAAATCTTTCATTACATCCGCTTGGAACAAGGTGTTTCTCTTCTGAAGCACAAAGGAAGGAAATGTATCTTCAGGAAATGTTTATTTTACCAGCGGATTGTCTGAAGCATGTTCGACAATACCCGGAAAAAAATCCCCACAAAAATTAATATAAAAACAGGAGGGGTTGAAATAAGAAAAAAAAATGCTACTTTTACGAGCTATTGAAAGTAAAATGCTCAGTAACATATTCCCAGGTGCCAGTCTCTGTGGCTCCCCTGCCAGTTTGTGCCCTGGGACGTTGYTGGTGTGCGAGGAGCTGAGCTGGGAGGCAGGGTCCCCTCTCCAGGCCCCTCTCTAAACTGTGTCTTAAAGCAGCTTTTAAAAGCAAAACGAGATACTTACCAATCTAAATGTTTGCATTCTAGAGGGAGAGATGCTGCCTCACACCTAACCCAAGGGGGTAGCTTAAAGCCCTGAGCCTGTAGCAGGCCTCCCTCCATCGGCACACCCYGGAGGGACATGGGCTACCCCTGGCACATGGGTTAAATATGTTTTTCCTGGGTGCTGTGGCTCTACTTTGCCTCCTTTTTTTCCCYACCGGTTCTTTTGTTTCTGGGCTATAAGAGCCTTTCATGTCATTTTTGATGGCGGCCGCTATCTGGAAATGAAACCTAAGAGATTTAATGCCTTGCCTAAGAGCAAAGGAGTTGAAAGGAAAATAAAAGAAATAATTTTAGTGCCCTAAAACCGAGCTCTGCCCAGTGCTGCCCACCTATGCCATTGATAATCCACTGCAGAAAACAACCCCCTTGGTTATTGCCTGAGCCAACACAGCACATCCCTCCAATCCTGTATATGTATACGTGTGTGTGTGTGTGTGTGTGTGTGTATATATATATATACACATATGTATACATATCTATATATGCACAGCCTTGTAATCCCCTCCTCCTTTGGCTGACTCCCAACACACTCAGGTAGGCCTGGAGAGGCTTCTACAGAAACCTCTACATGGGTTTTAACATCTCCCCGCCATAGGATTCCCAGAATTAACTTGTCTCTGGCTTTTGAAAGCAGGGACACCGTGTGAAGGAAGATGGATGCCCCTAAGAAATACTGAAAAGCAGGGATGACAGCGGTGGTTTATGTCGTAAGCCAGCTCATGGGCTGCAGAGGAGTAAGTGTGGTTGGCTGCCTGGCATCGGATTATTTTTTCCAGTGACAATGCCTCTATAGTTTATTTATTTATTTCTACCCTTCCACTTCAAGGCAGCTAACAACAGGGCAGTGTTTCCTAAGTCTCCATGATTACAAATCTGGGAGGACAACATTCCTGGTTGCCTCAGGGGCCAGGAGCCTCGACCCACATGGGATGTACTGAGGAAGCAGCCAGCATTCTTGCTTTAATATTACACCCCGATATACCTTTATTACACCTTTAATATTACACCCCAGCCCTGCAGCTTCAGGCAGTGCAGGATGCTGAGTGGTCATTACTTTCTGTTGCAGGGCAGCAGTGGCTGATAAGACCTTCAGAGACCCCCTGAGATTTGGGCACCAAGGGTGAGTTGTAGCTTCAGGAAGAGTCAGAACACACTGCACAATTACAAAGTGCTCTTCTGAAGTGTAATAGTTCAGCCTTAAAAGCAAAGGATTTCATTTACATTTTTTTATGGGCCATGAGATCAGCTCTGAAATTAGAGCTGGATTTAGCTGTAGAGCCATCTCTGAGCTTTGAAGAAAAAAATAAATAAATCAGGGTTGTTTGATTCTGGTGCCTTGCTTCATGCCCTCCCTGCCCTGGGAATGGAGGGAGGGCTGTCTGGGGCATGCTGAGGGCAGCCCCACAAGATCTGTGATCCGTCCCTCCCCTTCCTATCATTCACCTCCTCCCCAGACCTACCAGAGTCAAATATAAACTTTCTTAAAATGAACACAAGATTCATTCCACTTGACCAAGTCTGACTTCCCAGAAAATAAACAGCTAGAGCCAAGGCAGCCAGCCCCCTCTCTTCCTGTGCTGCCAGCCTCCAGAGAGGTGATAAATGGATCAAGAGCAATTCTGAGCCTTTTGCAATAGAGAAGTATGTGCTAAGGAGAAGAATCTAACCTGAGGGACTTGCTGGAGTCCACTGTAAAATAGCAACGTTGCTAAGTGGCTTAATTTTCATCAGGAAGTTCTAATTTCTCTTTTAGCCCCAGTTGTGTCCTGGAGAACTGATTTCCCATCTGTTTCCTGGCCCTTATAATGGATCAAAAAGGGATTGCACTTACTGTCAGAAGAAGAGGGCATTTCAGGCCTCAACGCTTGAACTAATTTGAACTGTGCAAGAGTTGATTCAAAATTTTGATCGTGAGGGCACTTCAGGCCTCAGCGCTTAAACTGATTCGAATTGTGCAATGGTTGTTGCACTATTTTGATCACTTTTTCTGTTGCCCTTTGTCTTCCTTCTGTGCACTGTTGATTTTGGTAGAAGGAAACAAAAAAACCCAAATCCCAAACAGTCTTTGTCTAGCACATGGCTGTCCAGCGATTCACAAAAAGAGACAGAGCACAACATGCTCAAGGCTTTTCTAACCCAATTTTGTCTTCACAGTGGATTAACCAGACACCTGGCCTAGACGATTATTGATTTCTACTGGTCACCTAGCACCCTGTTGACTGGGACACGCTTGTGTTATCCAGGTAAGGTGGAGGTGAGAATGGAAGGCTCTGGGCGTCCTTCTCCAGCACCCAGCACATCTCAGGACATGCCCACGGCCAGGAACCCTTCTGGACTAAACCTGCAGGACTAGCCCTGAACTTTGGACTCCGCCAAAGTCCGCATTTTCCTTCGACTCTCAGCCCCGTGGGTGCTTCCTGCTTTAATTCCTTAGGTGCTTGTTTTGGGAGCAGCGTGCGTTCAGATGTTGCTGAAGATAGTTCTGAAAAAATTTGCTCTTAAATAGCGTGAGAATGAAATGAGTGTAGACAAAATAGTAAATACACCTGTGTAGGACTAACTCCTTTTCCATACCAAGCAGTAGATGTTTTGGGACTTAGCTCAGGGTTATCTGATACATCCCAGAGCCCCTTTTCCTGTACTCTTCTCTAAGTTATGATGTTTATCTGCCTTTTCTTTCCCAGGACAGGTATCTTTGATCTTGGCTGCTCTCACCGCTAAACAGTGGACCGGTAAAACAGTTAACCTCTCTTTCAGTGAAAGCCTGAGCTTCTGATCCGCTCTAATCCCCAAGCATCCTGTCCAATTGTGTGAAGCTGTCAACTTTCTTCAGCCTACCAGCAATACTTGGCTTTTTTTTTTTAACTTTTTTTTTTTTTTTAAGTGAGAAACCTCATACTGCTCCAAACCTGTTCTCTGCAGAAAAATATCCTGAACCAAGGCAGCTAATATCTTCCCATTTGATGGCTGATTGCAGTAAGTAATAGTAGGGGCAGAGTGCTGAACCCAAACACTTTCTTTGGGGCGTCTTCCCACTTTATATAGGCTGATATTCATGGGCAATCCTATTAAAGACAAATGCAGTCAATGAAGATTTGCCAAAACTTCTGTAAATTGAGTATGTGCTACTAACGGTGAAATTAAATGTTCTAAAAAAAACGGAAAAAAAAATGGATTTATTTTCATGCTAGGTTTCAGTATGCAACTATAAGCATTATCTGTGCAAGCCAGAATAGATTAAAACTAGTTGTTAGGCTCTTTTATTTTTCCTTCTTGCTGTTTTATCTCCTAAGCAACTTTATTTGGTAAAAGACAAATAATCTGGATTCCTGAAGTCAGAAACAAGGAGTGAGAGTCCGGGAAACTGGCTGCTGAACTAATGCACTTTTTGTAAACGTGGTTATGGTTAGAAACTCTAAATATGGCACCGTGTTACTGTACACACTGCAACTGCACCCTGTGTGTCAGTGGCTGAGTCACAGCAGTTTAATTTACTGACAAAAACATGTTTTACTACTCTCAGCTGTGAGAAGTCAATAGAGCTGGGAATGAATGAGCTGAGCTCACGGGGTCCAATGTCAGCAACCAAACGCGCGGGCTCGAAGCGCACCCATTGCTGCTCATGTGAGTGATAGAAGCAGCAGAAGGGGCATGTTTTGACAGGGAGATGTTGAGCCTGGAGGCGCTTCAGCAGAGGGGAATGGTCTGTTCCCAGGTTTGTGTTGGACACGGCTATCAGCAAGCGGAGTTTCCTCCTGCCACCCCAAGAGATTTGGGGCGCTGCTTTTGGTGGGACCCTATGGAGAGCTGCATGTGGCTCGTGGCACTCAAACCAGTTTCCCTTTGATAGAAACCTGTAAAAAGTTTTCTTTCCATCACACTGCAGTACAAAAGTGTGTTTCTGAGGCTTGATACCAGGAAACAGAGTTGTCATCCGCTGCTTCTCTCCTCCCGAAGCAGTTCAGATTCTGATTCTTTTTCATCAGGAAATTAACTGGCAACGCTGCTTCCTTCCCACCCCCCCCTTTTTTTTCTCTTTTCCCTTTTTTAACTTCTAATCTGAACTGATCCAAAAGTTACTGACAGAAACTGAATTATGGGRCCAATACAGAGTTTCCCTTGTAACATACCCTCCACCCCCCATAACTTTAAGTAATGTCTCTCCCCAAAGGAGACCAGCTGGCATTCCTATACTGTGCACATCCTAACCTTTACTGTTGCTTGACTCATACAGCATGCATCTGAGAGAGTTATTATTGGAAAGTATTAAATACATTTCATTTAATATTTGGTAAATAGGTGGTATCTTTTCATTGTGCCTGAATTCATCCTTCAAATATCTATGTTTGTATTACTTATATTAATATATTTCATGGGCTGCTTAATAATAGTAGCAATTAAGATAATAACAATAAATAGTAATAATACTGAGTTCCTCTGCTTTGCATCAAAGGAGGTCAAGACTCAAGGGTATACCTCTGGGGCTGGTATAATGTAGATCCGATCTACTCCTGCTGTTTCTTTTTGTGGAAAGTTAGGAGTATCACGCAAAGATCAGATCGCCTGTGTTTTGGCCTCTGGAATGTCTCTCAGGCATTATAAATGCCAGTGAAAAGCATAAAATTGGAAAGAAAACAAACACCAGGACATTGAAAAATGTAACCACAAATACTGACCTATTTGTTTTTTTCTTCTGATTTAGCAGAATGCTATTAATATTATAATTAAAGCTATTTTGTAGCCTGGGGGCTGCAGCACCTGGCTCTTATTAGAGCTGGATCCGTAGCGTGTGGTGAAACGGGAGGACGAGGAGGGAGATGGCCCGAGTGAGAACACAAGAGGGCACAGTAGCACCTGTGGTGCACTTCTTGTTCACTGGCTTTTCGAAATGTTGGCTCTCTAGAGGTCTTTTAGCTTTGCAGAAAGGGAAGCAAGTTTGGGCCTCCGTTTGCGTGACATAAGAAGTAATTTGTATTTTATAAAGTTGCTCTGTAGCAACTAAAATTGTGCTAAGTGTGTTGATTAGTTGGAGTGGCAAAACTGTAATTTTGTGGACATCAAGTGTGATGTTTACTATAATTATTTTTGGTTAGCAGTGAGGTTCAGAGATAAGATACATTGACTATATCATCTAAGGGTGATATGATAATAAGTCTCCTTGTAAGTTCGATGGAGTGAATTTGAGGAGTCAGTAAGATTGGTACTCCAGTGTGTTCTCCAATAAGGCTGAAAAAGTGCATTCAAGGCAGTGGCTTTCTGCATCTTTCTTGATCGATTTTGCCCTATCATACCAGTGGAAATTTTATAGTTTCAGGAGTATAAATTCTGAATCCGTTTTAATGCTGCTTTTCCTCACTTAAGGAAGACTATATTTATACAATGACTTTTTATATGGTGGATCAGAAGTGGCTCAAGCAAAAGTAACTTGGGTTATTTGAGTCCCAAACAACCTAACCCTAACAAGCTCAACTGAACTGAGTGGTCATTGGTGAAAATGCAGTATTCTTCTCAAAAAATTAGTAAAATTAGAAAAGATTGGCACAGAAAGAAGATCGTATTCTTGTTCTTCAGTTAAAGTTCAGAGATGACGTTCTTCATTAGATCTTTCACTCAGGATGCCTGCTGCTGGGGAAGTGAATGATCTCCTTGTACCSTGATCACTAGTCTGTGCTAGGGTTTGATGAGGAGAAATGGGATGAGAACAGCTGCAACAGGAACACATCAAGCAAAGGTGTCAAGCAAACAGTCTCTTCCAGACTTGGCTGGTCACCATTTCTGGCTTCTGAAGGAGGTGACTTGCTAGGCCATTAATAAGGGAATGGATGGTTAAACCTCTGAGTACTGCCATCCATGACTTGTATTTACTTGCAGTTAAAAATGAACAACAACCTCCTTTATTTATTTATTTGTTTATCGTAGAGAACATCTTATACTCAGCTCTGCAGTTCCTGTTATTTGTAAGGCAGAATTTCTCTCCCACCCAGAGCAGCCTCCAGTGGTTCCGTWGCCTCCCTGAAGTCCATCTCTGTCACTGTATATGGAGATCAGAAAGGAAGGTGCAATAGCACGCTGCATGAAAAAAAGTAAAGAAATAAGATCATTAACATCTTAATATCCCGTCCTGACATCTCACAAATTATTTTAGACTTCACAGCCAATGTAAACAGGTTTGTTTTCAACTCCCCTAATTGCCTGCTAATTGAGAGCAGATGCAGGCCTTAACTTTCTGCAGATAAAGAACAGCCTCTTCTCTAGGGTTTAGCATCTATCTTGAGTTCTCTGCTGTATGCCTGCGAGCTCCCCTGGTTAGCGGGGCCGAGAGGGATTGCAGCATCTCCTCTGGAATCACGAGTGAAACCTCGGAGAGATGGAAGGGGAGGCAGAGCTGTGGGACTCATCATCAGCAGCAGCATCATCGTTATTGTTTCATTTCATACTCCAGCGCACTTTCTGCAACACTGTGGGCTTCCCTTTTTGGTGGGGGGAGTTCTCGAMTTATAGATGGGTTTCTCATTATGACAGAAATCACTGGGTTTATGAAAAATGCATTGCTGTCGTATTCCATTATCTCCTTCCTCCTGTGCTGCAGTTCYGTAGCTTGCAAGTCATTAGATTCTTTTCCAGAGTTCCTTTGAAATAATCTTTCAAAAAGCACTATTCATCGGGTTTGACCCCAGAGAGATACTGTCTGTTACTAAAAATCTCTCTTAGTTCTGCGAGGGAGACCTGTAACAACAAGGTAAGTGCATGTATATTCCGAGTAATGTCTGGAGTTTGCTACCTCCTGTTAAATGCAATAGGAGCTCTCACTTCAAATGCTGGAGTTTTGCTTTGTAAATGYAGGAGAAAATTTAGTCTAGAAATTTAGGCAAATTTGCATTTGGTTTGGTGGTGATTTAATGTTCCGTGGTCTGTTTTAGGTCCAACTTAAATATTACATTAAAACCAGCAATACAAAAAAAGAAAAAAAAAAAGAAAAAGATAAAAACAAAAGATTTTAAAAAATAAAGAAAAAGCATGCTAACTGCTGTGTACAGAAAAAGCAGAGATGATTTTGTTCTTGCCGTCAGCGTAGCAGTGAACTGCTTTTTACGTTCTCCTCTTCATTTAGCAAGTCAGCAGAGGCAGGTAAATGATAGCCCTCCAGTCTTTCCTCGGGACTGTTTCTAGAAATGAAAGCAGTAACTTCAAATCCTTGTGTTTTTCATATCCCTTACAAGATGTTGGTGAATTTTAAAACTTT